GCTAAGGATGCACTGCCATGGTTAGTTTGGTTAAAGTTGTCTCTCTTTTCCCTTTTCAGCATTGGGGGTGGTTGATCTTCCATCTCACTATCATCTCCATCCCTAGTAGGTAGATTAGGAAGAGGTACATTATGAAGAGTTTGTTCTGGGTCTTCAATCTGCTCCCCTGCCTCAGTCTTTACTCTCACGGTCTACACAATAAAATGTTTAATACTACTTATCTGACGTCATGGTTTACAGTTTTACAGTTTACACGTTTTCATCAAAGCTGTAAACACTTCAACAGACTAAAGGTTAAATACAAATATTATGTAATGTGGTCAATGGTCATGATAAAATGAAATACTTTTATCTGTTTGATTCTGAAAGCTTACCTCACTCTGAGACTGATGATACTGAATTGTTTCCTCTTTGATAGCCTGATAGACTCTGTGTTTGGTGACGTTATCCAAGTAAGGCATGCTTTTCAATCGGGGGTCCAAAGCCGAGGCTTGAAGAAGGAAGTCAGGTATATCACCTGTATACCTGAAAATAAATATTTCATAAATTAGTCTGTGTCATTGTGAATTATAATTATTATAATCAACTCTATATTGTTTTATTTAAATTGTATTTTCATAATTTTAATCTTCACTAATATTATCTATTCTGAATTGAAACGTTAACCTGTTTTACATAAATATTTTTCGTGCTATATTATAATATACTTTTACTGGACCTAATGTCTCATGTTGAATTTATATTACTTACCCTCAATTGAAACTTCTTAAAAACTTGCCTTGACTCCAAATCAGACCTAATTGTCTTCTTCACATCAGAGACGAGAGTGTTGTCACTGGATTGGCGCTTCAAGTGATGCAGAAGCATTTCCTTGAAGGGATGTATCATGGATATTGTTGGTTGTGTGTGACTGCACATTTTTGTCGAAACAGTCTTTATTGGCTTCAGAATCCGCAGTACTTCTTCAATGTTCATCAGATCTTCTTCAGAGAGTGTGACAAGTTCTTTAATGTTCTTTAGTTCAAGTATTGCAGCAAATACTGCAGTCTGCTGCTGCACATATCTTTCCAACATGTCATATCTTGAATTTCACCTGGTGGAAACATCCATTACCAACTTATTTTGTAGTAATTCAAGTTTTTGTCTGCATCAGTGTAAGTGCACTTGTTGCTGATGTGCTTTTGTGAAAAAAGCGCACAACACTTCTCACTCTACTTCACAGGATTTCCATCTGGGCAACTCTTAAACCACGCTGGGTGGCAAGATTCAACGTGTGAGCAAAGCATGTTATATGCAGATTAAGTCCGTACTCCTTAACTGCTTTCACAATGTTAGCAGCGTTGTCGGTTGTTACCGATGGACCCCTCCCAATCCTCTCAAATGTCCAGACATCAACTGTTTCTTTCAAGGATCTGGGTCAGATTTTCTGATGTGTGAGCTTTTGAAAACTTCAGAGATTCCAGAGTAACGATCTCTACCTTCCAGTCTTCATTCACATAGTGAGCTGTTACGGCAATGTAATTTTTAGTCGCTCTTGATGTCCAGGAGTCTGTAGTCATAGATATTCTTTCTGGACTAGTCAAAGATTTGATTACTCGATCTTTCACAGTTTTAAATATCGCTGGAATGATGGTATTGCTAAAGTGTGAACAAGGTAATGCATATCTGGGCTCCAAAACGTTAATCAGGTGTTGAAATTCACTTTTCTCAATCGTTGCGTAAGGCCGCTTGTCATGAGCTAAATATCCTCCAATAGCCTTAGTAATTAGGGTCTTACGGTCATCTCCCAACTTTGACTTCGCAACAACTTGTGATAAAGTTTGTTGACACCTGGAACATATTTTGCTAGCATCAATTCCAGGTTTCGTTGCACTCGCACGTGACTCGTTGACATCCACATTATGTTTCCGCTTCAAATGATTGAATAGATTCGTAGTCGATCCAGATTTGTAACCAATATCTGCATAGCATGTTCTGCAAGTTGCTGTTTCCTTTCAGTTTTCCCGAAGGCCAAAATACTCCCAGACCTTTGATTTCAAGTTTACCGGAGGTGTTTTAAGCGATATACCCCATCCGCCATTTTGTAACCAGGGACTACATACACTCGTAAGCAACCTTAACTGTCATTGGTTAGAGTCGTCCAATCAGGATACATGTAAGGTTTCATACCAGAAAGTGGTTATAAAACTTGTGTTTGCCTGAGCCCGGCTCCCTTTGCTTGCACAACTTTGTGCCAAAGCCAGTACACTGCGATATGCGAGACGGGGCCAAGCTTAGTGTTTGCCAAATATGAAACGACAGCGAATTTTCAACATGATTTCTTACGATTTCAGTGGAAATAAACAGTATTAGAAAGTAAGTACTTTATGAATCGAATCGAAATGGATGCATTTGAAATCGAGATCGAATCGTACATCTATCGATTCGATTTTCGATGCACTGAACCGAATGGTGACACCCCTACTTGGTATTCTTGTTTCTTAAAACAAACGGAGGAGTTTAGAAAACTTAAGGCTGGATATGATTGATAAAGGAACTGTGGCTGTCTGTAAGGAGACAATTAGAACTGAGCTGCATGCAATGGGTTGGCAGAAAAGTCGAGGAATTCCATAACCGATCATGAAGTCTGAACAAAAGGAGCGGTTGAACTGGTACTTACAGCATAGAAATTTTAACTGGGACAATGTGATTTTCTCAGATGAAAGTTCTGTGTGTTTCCTAATACATTGAAATTCTGGACCAAACAAACTGAAAAACCTTTGTATCAGCGCCCGACAGTCCGAAATTTAACGTGTGGGGTGGCATATCTGTGTTAGGGGCAACGCCCCTCTGTGTATTTGAAGGGAATATGACAGTGAGCAGTACACAGATATTCTCGAGGGACATTTACTTCATCTGCTCGCGTTTTCTATGGAAATGTTTGGATTTTCCATCAGGACAACGACCCAAAACATCGTTCAAAGCATTCACAGGCCTGGTTTCGGACCCAAAATATGACATTATTAAATTGGCTAAGCTATAGCCCTGACCTAAATCCAATAGAAAATGTTTTAGGACTTATGAAGGAAAGTGTCAATAAGAAAAATCTGACAAATATTGCTGAAAAGAAAGAAGAGGTGGTCCGATATTGGGACAGCATGGACCACGACGTTGTAACTTCTTTAAATCTGGAATTATGTTCTGCTAATATTCACATTTAATACGTGAGTAATGAGTGAAAAAAAAAATTACAATCTAAAATTCTCATTAATTTCTGGTTGTACTGTATGACAATCTAAACCTAATCAGTCGTCAGTGTATTAATCAAAAATTGTCGGCGAACCATTTGAAGGTTATTACCTAACCTATGTTATACTCAAGATTGGATTGTATCCAGCTAGGGAAGAAAACCATGGAAACAGTGGACGGTTTTCGTTTGCATCTAATCAGCCATTTTAAACGACATATCGAAAAAGAAAGGGATATGCGAATCGCATTGCACACACACACACACACACAAAAACAACAACAAAGTGCTCGTAGAAGTCGGCATTGGCTAGGTGTCACCATCGTGGGCTTAACGATCGTGGCCGCACCTGTCGTGCTGGGCATGGAAATAGCATCGGGAGCTCATACTTAAAATAATTTCACATTGATTGCAACGTAAAGCATTAAAACATACTAGCATTTGCGTTCTGGCTGAATCAAAATTAAATACGATCGAGGATCATATCTCGGCGGCGATCTCTGATAGCAAGATCTCAGAAGAAGAGTTCCGAATGGTGATGTCGGAAGTCTCCAAATACCACAAGATGAAGGAAGAGATTAGCACCTTAAGCCTCGTAAAACCAGTACCAGCGAAGAAGAGAAAAAAGTGTATGGCAATGGGAAGAGACCAACTTCAAGCCCTTGCCAAGAACAAAGACATCATAAAAGATTAACGTTGAATTGTCTCCTTGATGTTACTGTAAATTCAAAAGAAAAAAGAATTCTTTGCCAAGTTTTGCCAACTTACTTAATTCGAACTCTAACTCACAGTATTCTGAATCCAGTACTGTCCCACCGTGCTGTCTAGCATGCAGTGAGTGAGTAGGTGAATTTAAGCTATATATTGCATCATGCATTACAGACGTCTGTCGATTCGGTTTTCAAAACACTAAATTCACAAATAATGGGATGTGACCTTCACAAACCAGCTAGACCTGTTCCCTAAATAGTTGAGACCTCCCCTTGGATGTATTATTCACTCCATTAAACTATTTTGAAGCTATTAAAGGTCTCAGCTGGTGAGCTGATGACCCAGTTTATTGTTAGTTGGCTTTTTGTAGTGACCACAGGTAGCTCACATACCTGTTTGGCTGAATGAATACTCCCTCAGGGTTGACAAAAAGAATTAAACAGGCTGCTGTCGTGTCCTCGGGTCGGTTGAGTGACTGCGGGTACGATCCAAAGTGTCGGAGTTGCGCAGCTCTACATTGAGGGTTCAAAGCCTACTATTAACCTCTGAGTTCACTTGAAAGGTATCACATTATGGGCTCTCGGGGAAGAGCGGCAGGCGAGACACAATCCCTTGGGAGAAATCAGCTTCCCACAGTGAAAGAAGGGCAACAGAAACAAATATCCTTTCTCCCTATGGGATTGTGGTCACTGGGGACGTTTTGCTATTTTATTTTCTTGTTTTAAAAAAATATATTTAAAAAAATAGATACCAAATATTTTTGAAATAACAACATTCTGTTCAACAACGATACTCCATGGACTAAAAAAAACCCTTTTTAACCATCCGTGGGACCTTCTTTAACCAAAGATAAACCTCTCAGAGGAATTTGCGGTAGAATCTTAATTTCAGATACTACTTAATATCATAATATCATTTTATAATAACTTTTAGTATTTCATTAACCTTGCATTCATCACAAACGTTATAGTATTCTGTGTGACTGACTTAATACTGTAGCATTTCATGGTTCTCCAAAATAATGTATAACTTTTGCTATGAAAAGTCCAAATGTTCTTCACAGGTATATCCATGTGAAAATGGGGGAACGTTCCTTCATGAGAACAGGACCTGTCGATGCGCTGATGGCTATGTTGGAGACTACTGTCAGCGCCGTTACAGAGGTACGTAGTTATACAATTATAGCAAATGATATAATTTCAGAAATAAGCATCAGAGTTTCAATAACAAGCGCGATATGATGCTCACACAACCATTTGCTGCATATCATTTGGTCCAAAACTGTTTCTTTGAGAATCAAAGCCAGGAAGTATATTTCCTCTCCCGACAGCAACCATAAGAGCTTAGATTTATATTTCTGTGTTCTGGCAAATTAGTTATACGTTAACTCTGGAGATTTGTAACTAAATTTAGATATTTCAATTGACCAATCACACGACAACCAAATCAAAATATACAAAATTGCCAAATTGCACATGGTACACAATCCACAATCAACAGTTGCAGGTTTGGGTTACTTTTACATTTCAAAGGGACAAACCTTCTGTACTGTAGCTTGTTCACACGCACACACACACACACACACACACACACACACACACACACACACACACACCTTCCTCATTTACTTCCTAACACATCAACAGTACGATACTGGTTGGCGTTGCGTTCGTAAAACGATAACACAGATGACGTGGTCACAGTTCAGACTCCTTAGGTTAATATCTAAAAAAACGATAAGGTGTGATAAAAGTATGCTCCAGGTTAGAACCATCATTATGACTGCATAAATCCCTATTCAAGAAACTGTCATCCAGTAATGTGTCCTTAGTACTCATTAGTACTCATAAGTGGGTTATGGACATCAAGATCTCAAATGATAAACAGTACTTAAGGACTAATAATACAATGCCTGAAGATCAGACTGTCGAAGAGAAGAAGTGGTGTATAGAGAACGTAATGTAAATACAACGTTCAGTGTTACACGTTTTTTTAAGTCTGGATAGGGGGTATTCAGAGGGACGTGGCTATGACGCACACTACCTCATTTTAAAAGATGATTCCACAGTTGCTTTTTCAACTGGAAGAGAAAAGCAAAGAACCGTAATGTCATAAATTGATTTTGTCAATCGCCTTAAGAACAGTTTCTTTTATAGTAGCCATGGACCGACCTCTTTATCAGACACCTGTATGTCATTCATTTTTATATCTTGTTGTCGTTAGTTATTTAAGGTATTAACTTCTTGTCTTGGTTGATATGCAGTTCTTTTTAAAGGTTCTTTGGAGGTTTCAGATTCTGGAAGGCTCTGACAAACTGGGTGGCTGTTCAGTGTTTGTTATACCACCATGAAAAACATTGGTATTAATTTATTATCTTCAGTGAAAGATATAGTGTTCAGTTTCAGATTCTGTGTTTGTCCTAGATAGACATATTTTGGAATAAGACTTGTTAACCGTTGCATTTGGCATACTTACTATATCATTTTGGGCAATTAACGATGACCACCCTATCCCGTTAATCACTTCTTACGATAAGCATGGGTTGCTGAAGACCTAAAATATAACGCGGATTTGCACGCGTTTGGGTTTGAAGTTCTGCAACTTGTAGGTAGGTATGGATTTGTTTAATAATCGTGTTGCGTCTCTCCCAATGAATCGCTTCACAGATCAAACACCTTCAGCCTCGAAGCATAATCCTCCCTAGACATGTCTGAGATAGTTTGCTGAATCACAGATACATACTTATACAGAAATTAGGTATTTTGTGTTCTGAGACACCATCTCAGTGTTTACAAACTGATGAACTCAGGAGAAAAAGTTGCGTCCCAAATTTCTAGGTCACGTCATAGCATCCCCACGAGACTGGAAGCCCCACCCCCCATGGAAAATTCCGTGACGTCATAGCGTCCCCCCCATGACCGGAATGTCATAGCTTCACTGGAAGCCCCACCCCCTTTACGTCATGGAAAGTTACCAGTCACGTGATAGCGTCCCGATGTGAGTCCCACCCCTTTTTTGTGATGGAAAGTTACCAGTGATGTGATTGCGTCCCCACGTGACATGAAACCCATCCGTCATCCCAAAATCATGACGTTCCTAGTGACATCATAGCGTCCCCACGTGACCGGAAGCCCCATAACCATGGATGAATCCCCTACATTGAATCCCCTACCCCTGTGACAGTCGGTCACTTGCGCAAATCAGATTTATTGCAAATTTCTTCACATTTCAAACTTGAGGCCAAACCTGTTACGAGGCAATTTCAGATTTTGAAAATTGTGTTGAATCACTATATTGATGAGGGAGATTTTGAACATGAAGTTTTGGAAATGGTGAAAGAAGAAAATTTGGAAATGAACAAACTTGAAATTCAATTGCAAATTCAGAAAGAAGAAATAAAATATAGAAAAGAAAAAGAAGAAATGGAATTTAAAAGGTTGCAAAGAGAAAGAAAGGAAATAGATTCAGAAAATTGGAAATTGATGAAAGGAAATTGGAAATTAACAGAGAAATTGAGCTGAAAAAGCTTGGAAACCCTTCTCCGCCCTCAAAACATTCCTCTTTTGACATTGCAGAGCATGCCAGACTGGTACCCCCTTTTAATGAGAAAGAAGTAGACAAATATATTTTCTACATTTTGAAAAGACGCTGAAAACCTCAAGTGGCCTAGGGAGTCATGGACTATGCTACTGCAAACTGTTTTGAAGGGTAAAGCTCATGATGCTTATTCGGCCTTGTCAATACAGCAAAGCTCAAACTATGATCTTGTCCAAACGACACTTTTAAAAGCTTATGAGTTAGTGCCTGAAGCTTATCGTCAGAAATTCGGAAATGCTAATAAAAGGGACAATGAGTCTTTTGTAGAATTTGCTATGGAATCACATCAGACTTTTCATATCACTGGAGTTATACACATCTGTCTGCCATCGTCTGACCTACATTCAAGACTGACAGTGCATGCCTGACTGCTCTCATTGTAAACTACCTTCATTCAGTATATCTGCTCTCACTGTAAATGTCAAGACTCGGTCAGTTGATATCTAACATTTGTGACGCGATACTTTAGATTTGGGACTCAATTGCAGTGTACTAGAAATCTGTATTGTGATTCATTGTAGCTTGCTCATTGTTTGTTCAATATATTATTGAATATTTTAGACTTGTGTGTGTTTTATTTTGCTGGTTCAAAGGGGACTCTTAAACCTTTTGTCACGGCAATCTATTAAACCTAACAGGAGAAAGAAGTGACATCTTATGACCGTATAAGAGCCTTATTAGATACCCTTCCCTGACAAGGACCTGAAGCTTACACCCTCTTCTGCAAAGCTTTGGAGGAATGCGGAGAGAGAGAAGCAATAAAATTGTTGAGTCTTGAGACTCCCCACTCTACTCACAAGCAGCTGACAAGAGATACAGGATGCCCGTTGTCGTATAGGAGGTGATATATGTGGACACCAAGACCTGTGTATGGACAGTACCCCTCCTCTGATTAAAACTCAAACAAGAACGGTTGAATTCCTCTCAGTTTTGGCCTATGCGGGTAAAACAGAGTCCTAGTCAAATGGCTCAGGCAGGATTTGTGTACTTAATCAAAGGGGACACTTGCAAGTGTTTTCAATGTGGTCTCGTTCTCAAACTGAGAAGTAGATGATGATCCTTGTGTCCAACATGAAAACTGATGTCCAGACTGTCCTTATGTGACCCTGGCGGGAATACCTCAGAAAGGAATGGCCCGCTGGGGTAGTCATGTTGATTTACATTGTAACTACGAGTGTGATTTTATCGTAAAATACTGTATATTTTTGATTTGTCAAAGTCAATCTGTTATTGGTAATAAATCAATATTAGAGCATGTTTGCACTGGGTGTCTATATATAGTTTAGTCTTTGCATGCTCTCATCACTTGCAGTCATCACTCCGTGGGAAGAGTATCACGATGCCAAACATTGCTGGTAGTTAGGCTGGAAATTACAAGCGAGTCCGGTATTTCCGCGCGTCCGGTAATTCTGCGCAGTTGCAATAGCGTACTTCCGTATCGAGGTTAAACATCGTCTGCTACCACATTTACGCTTGAAATCGGGACATTTCTACAGGGGACTGGCTTTTATTCACTAAAGGTAAGTAAATAACTGTAACTGACAGATAAATTGACAGTTTTATGAAAATTCGTTTTCATTGGACTTTAAAACCTTTTTCGTCATTATTCATAATTGGATTTAATATAAAACACTCTTCCTTTCATTGATGAAGTGATTTTTGAAAATAATCTGGCCCTAATAGGCTTCCATACTTCGGGTCTCCATCAGGATGTTATGCACATCAGTTGCTGCGCAGAATTAACGGACAGCAAGCGATGTCGTCAGATCGCCGGTAAGGTCAACCGTATGTCATAATGCAACGTTAGAATCTTATAGTCGTCAATAAAACTTACCAGCATGTTTACTTACGTAAACCACACAAAATAAACCACACAAAATAAGAGACGTTAGTTGCCGTGTTGCAATCGATGTGCTTTGATGCGCGGAATTACTGGTCGGCCTTGCATACTAAGCCATGAAAGCTGAAGGTCAATTAATATATTTATATTAAGGACCACTTCAGCCAACTGGCTTCATTTAGTTCTGGATCAGTGACGGTAATACTACACTTAAAACCACTTCTGTTTTGTTTGTAAAGAAATTACTGAGAAGGTTTGGTGTAGGGAGAACGGCTATAAAAATAGCTAGAAAAAGTGGATACCTTCATTCTACGTCAAACTTTTGATGAGTCAACATGTCTGCACCAATGGGTACATGTCAGACCCCGAAAAGTGGTATCGTTACTTCAAGTTGCAAGCGGAAGGCAAACTGGACCCTTACGTGCTGATTATGAGAGGGGGACAGAGACGGGGGTTGATGTCCGTGGATAAAACCATGGAATTGTACGATACTGAGTTGTTTACAAAGAAGGAGGAAAAACCAAATCAGGAAATGAAAGTAAACTTGGTCGCGCCCACTCAACTAATCGTTGAACAGACCAAGGCTCATATTCAGATGTAAAAGAAAGGGGGGATCTAAACCCGGAGAAATCATTTTCTCCTCCCAGAGTCACACGAAGAAATGGAAGACAATGTTTTAGATAAAATCAGTTGTATACAGGTTCATGCAGTCAACAACGTGTCCCG